TAAACTATTGGTGTCCGTGAATTATAGTAAGGGCCAAGATCAATGTTGACAGTGTGTACACTTGTAGTCAGCTATTTAAATTAGTGGCGCACTGTGTATGTTCATTATATGTGTTAAATGTTAGGTAGGTAAACTCTATCAATGCATTTATAACAAGACCGCTGACACGAGTGAAGGTGTCACACACCTGCCAGGAAATTTTCTGCCAATTTTAAGGTGACTGTGGTTAATATACATGTGTTTGAAAATCGTCAAATTGTTCTTCGGCCCATCTACATAATGTTGACTGGGAGTTAACGGTACACACAAAACAAGTGTTCTTGCACGGAATACTGTGATAATTTCTAATTGTCAATCTACTATATTCACTGTTAACAATTAGACAAGAAAAATGTCGTTTTGTGTATCATACGGAAGGCTGACTTCAAGTAATATTAAGCATATATATTCAACTAAAGAGTTTAAACCAAATGTGAGGCGTTTCCCGCGGATGTACAACCCACCAACACATTCCCGTCATTTTTCTGACACCTATCTCGGGGCCTCGCTGAAGAGAAGATTGTATGAGGATGATGAAGAGTATGGCTATATTCCACGTGCTCCAGCATTCCGTCAGGTTTCTGAGGAGGACGTGAAAAGTGTAGTGGCACGTTTAAGTCAACCGAACCCTATTAAGCTACATCCTCGTGGCTGTAAGCAGTACCAAAGGGGATTTGAAAAATATAAACATGAAGAGGAAGATCCACCGGAGGAGTGCTTAAAGACCCCCCGCGAAGTGAAGGACATGGTTGCTCGGTTACACGCGCCAATTGTATGTAGGAAAGCCCATTATTACAGAACAACGGACGATGAAAATTATGACGACGATTTCGAAGAACTTCCACCTGTTTCTGACTAATCTAACATGGAATGAGTTTTCGTGGACGAGCAGTTCAGACTTATTTACCTAGACATTTTGATTATAATTCGTGGTGGACGACTGGTCGGAATTCAGATGTTATTGTTTCATGCATGGATACAATGTCATTTTAACGTTTTAAACGGGGAAAGTGCATGTCTTAAATACAGATGTGATAACTTCCAATGTGCTTCGAACATTTGCTCAGAATTTCGTTGAACTGATTTTCTTTTCTATGAATGTCGTACTTGTGTATACAAGATTATATATTTACCGAGTTCGTGTGTTTATCGGTCTCATTTGTTTGATAATAATACTATACCTATATAGTATATGCTTTTAATTGTCATACGCAATATGAGAATGTGAAATTTCAGAGTCATACAACTGGTATTTTTTCCGGTTACATTTTGAAACTAAATTTACTTTTCACTACAATATCAGTAATACATGTTTCCATTAAAATAGAGGGGTTTAAGGATGGACTTGGTATTAGTAAACGCTGTACAAATCAGAGTGGAGAAAGTACATTAAAGATCTGAAAAAGGTATTTTTATACAATTCAGCGCGGAGAAAGGTAAATCTAAGATTTCAAAAAAGTAATTTTGTACAATTCAGCGCGGAAAAGGGTAAATTTTAGATATGAAAAAGGTAATTTTGTACACTTCAGCGCGGAGAAAGGTAAATATTAGATTTGAAAAAGGTAAGTTTGCACAATTCAGCATTTCCTACATAGGATGAGTTAACATGTTTTATTTGTTGGAATAAAAAAGAACCCTTCAGGTGTTTTAGGTACTGATGCGTGACGATTACATAACAGCTGTGCAACACATATATAAAGTTTGTTTCACATACATGATAGCAGGTTCAAAGTATGACAATAATTATGCATGAGATTTGCTTGATATTTGCTTGTTTTGTTTAAATGGAACTGCTTTGATGTAGACAATTTATATTATACGGAAAACCTTTACCTTTAAACCAACAAGTGTACTATTTATATATTGATTATTTATATTTCTACATATTTATATTTAAAAAATATCTTTATCAAAATATGTTGACTACAGATATAAATGGTTTGCTTCAAATAAATGCTGTGTGTTATATATTTTTCATGAAAACTTTATCCTATTATACCTCTTGTCAAGGACCTGGAGGTGTAATTTGCTGCCTACGTTGAATGTTAATTGATATATGTCTTTAAATCTTGCTTTCAAAAAACATTGATCTTAGTGTTGAAGATTTAGTCACACCAGGAAGGTTTGAAAGTTCTGCTTTAGACTTCGTTCTAAGTTAGCTGTAAGAACAGGTTTGGTGATTTTCATTGTTGTGTGAATGGTACAAAAATTCTTGCACCGATTCCAGGTATTTTATTGTGATGTCAATGCATAATGAATGTCGCCAAATCATCTCTGGACAACAATCGATTTTAGCTGTTTCAACGACATGAAGCCCCAAACTAACAAATGACCCTGTTGTTGTACATGAAATGTCGTTATGAGAGATTTTAATTATCACACACGAAAAATCGTATTTCATTCTTAATAGGTATCTTCATTATATATCAAACTCCTGTGATGTGATTCAGACAACAAGTTGGTGTGTTCAACCTTTCTCCCGGCTAGTGAGTGTCCACTGGATGACCAAGGTTAATTGTATGCTAAGTCACTCATGAATAATTCACGTGGGTTAAACATTAAGATGGACAAGAAAACATGTTTGTTTGACAAATAGATATAGTTCTTAAGTGGTAACATTATTAATCATATCTACAAACCACATTTCCAGTGGTTACCAAAGTCGGACAAAGTGTTTTCCCATATGTTTAATGATGTCATGACCAGATATGAAGAAATTAAGGGTATTTTACAGAAAAGAAATTCGATTCGTTGATACAATACAAAATTCATTCCAATTGTATAGTTTGTTAAAATGCAAGTGCAACCTCTAAAATTCCACACAAACCTTCTGATTATTTTGGTACATTACAACATATTCCATTTTACCAACAGAAATATATGTGTAGGTATCACGTACAGACTTTAGAAGATCTTGTGCTTAATATGGTAATCGTTAATGTTACCCGTTCATGTCATTGATCAGAACTAATAATAGGAACGATTATATACGTTCTTTATCAGTAATGAGTAATTAATTAAACCATCATTATCTGCCTGAACTATCTGTGCTTGTTATGCCTGTCGCTATCTACAACGTATAATGTTATCCCTATCAGTAACACTAAACACATTGTAATACGTATGAGTACATGTACGTTGTTCTATAAGTGGCGTCGAGTTCGGGCCAATTATCTGAAAACTACGTATGATGATCTGAAAAATTAATGTCCTGTTACAACCTCATTTAAAAGTATTTATGTCTGAAATTTTGTATATTGTATCTTGTAAGAGTCGCGACAGGCTCATAACTGCACTAATACACAATGTACATTCTTAACTAATTTATTCTAAATGGATCAATTACTTTTTCGATAGAAGTGAATAAAATAAGATATTATTTCTTTCGTCCTTCATATCAATATAACCGTGAAGGGGACTATATCAATCAGAAAGAGAACAATGAAACGTACACGTATATCATATAGCAATGCCATAAAAGGCGATTTACATTATGCGCACCATTGATAATAGAGTCATTCGGTTTGCGTCTCTACAATTGGAAATCTAACATGTTCACTTGGAAAATCAAGGGGGAAGGGGGTTTCTTGATTTCTTTGTTCGGCAATAAAGAGAATTGCCAAGTCTTTCCATAAGCTTGTGCAAACCCTTTAATTCATCAACAAGGGAGAAAATTATATTGTTTTGCTATTTCATAACCTTTTTATGAGTGCTGTTTTGATCTAGTATCAATTCTGTGAATTGTTAGTGTAGCGTTTTCTAATTATCGACACGTCATTCACTTGTTATGATAAGAGGGTTCCTCATTACGAGGTTGTGTTTTTTATGACGAATACGACAATTCCAGCAAATATTTTCATAAGTATTACCATTTGTCTTGTACAGGTATTTAAAAAATAAAATTCGCATTTAAGATCAGCTTACATTGTTATAAGATAAATGTATAGGAGGAGCTAAACTGACTGTGGTTTCAACTTGCTAATTTCGAAACAAATACATCATACGTTCATAATATTAGTGTGGCACCAGTTTAAAACTTGATTCACTAAGGCTTACCTATAATTCCTCAACTAAACGAAGGAAACGCCCATTCTTTACACATATATATACTATCTGTTTTATCTAATAACGAGGATAGGGAATGAATTTCCGTGTACATTATTTCGATATTAACAAATAGGTAGGATGAAACGACTTGAAGATAAATGTAAATGCTCCGTATTGTTATCGAAAAAATATGTAAAATTTCTTTCCAATGTTTATAGTAACTACACCAATCATAAATAACCTCAATCACTACAGCTAAACACAAAATGACATTCGAAGGGAAGTAACTCTAGTATCGTGTAGCAAGTTGACAGTTGAAAGTAGAATCACGTACAGTGCACAGAATTATAATAAGGAAGAAAAGCTTCGAGAACGAAATTTTGATCTATCTTATTTACACATCAAATGTATTTGTTTACAACTTGGGATATGTATACCCCTATATTTACATATATCTACATGCACCATGAAACTTGAAATGTAAACTAACTAGGTCATACAATATAATCATAACAAAACAGCACTTACTTACGCCCAGCATTCAACTTTGATGGTTACGTGCTTGCTGGAAAGCATACATATAATAGTTTCAGTCTCAAATGTTTTATAATATCCTTTTAGAATTTGCCAGCATTATGTCTCCTTTTACAGACAGTCGACGAATAACCTCCCAAAATATGCAAATAGCAAACCAATAGGGAAACTACACATTGCTGTGTCACTTGAAGTATGTCACTTTAGATGGACGATAACGTTGTATAAGGTACAATCATTGAATCATCATTAAGCCAATCCTGTTGAAAATAAATGTGATAACTAATAATATGTTGTTTTTCCCCAGTTACTTCGATATTATCTTAAATACTGTCAACGAACATTGTTTTAATCACCGGTTAATTCTAATTCAAGTGTCCTTAATAAGTTGTTTGTCGCCCGAGCTCAAGGTAGTCGTGACCGGATAGCTGATGTGATGATGGCATGTTGACCCCCGGCTGGAAACGATATGGGTCATCTTGCTGTGAAGAACGACGATGACTGGACTGGTGAGAATACGAATCATTGGAGTTTTCAGATCGTGAGGGTAATTGCGGTGGAGATATTTGGTATGGGGAACTACCAGGCGTACTGACATATCGATCCTTTTGGGAGTTTCCGGTGTAAATTTTCCTACTGGATGTTAATGTAGTCTCTTGTTGTGACGGGTACGGGAAATGTTCGAAGACATCTTTGTTTTTAATGTTTCCGTCCTGATGACCACGATCACTTCCCACAGATTTTGAATAGGCATAATCTGGCGCATGCATTGGCATGAGGTATGGGTTATCATGTTCTCTATCGCCAGTCAAGGAATCCGGCTGTGTATAAGAAACGTTCGATGATGGGGAGGTTTCATCGCAACTTCGACTTCTTTTACTTTGTCGTGATTGCCTAAACCCTTCCTTGTCTTTAATAGGTTCAGGGTCCACGTATGGATTTTGATGTGGATCATCGCGCTCATCTTCCATTGGATGGATGTAATCTGGACTCATCGTTGAGTTAGCAGAATTTTGGTGTGGATCATCGTGCTCATCTTCCATTGGATGGATGTAATCTGGACTCATCGTTGAGTTAGCAGAATTTTGGTGTGGATCATCGTGCTCATTTTCCATAGGATGGATGTAATTTGGATCCATCTTTGAATAAGCAGGTGGAAGTTCAGCATACACGTGATCTGGCGAAGGACATCTATCGCGTCGTTCGAGTGGATGGAGGTATGCTGGGTTAATCTTATTCTTTTCCATGAAATCGGTGGGTGGTGTCACGACAACCTGTGGACCCACAGCACCCTGAATGTCTTGGGGCAAGGCATATTGATTCTGTACTACTGTGGGAACACTCCTGTTGTTCAAATAAATATTATCTGGAAATCGCTGGGGTTTACTACAACACAAATAACACATAAGAATTGGGGATGTTATTTGACATGAACATCCATATATATGGACAATGTATAACATCTTTCTACATATGAAAAATGACTCTATTTATGGAAAGAAATTTGGTGTTGAATTTCAATGAATTATAGCTTAACATCATTAATCAAACATATACATTATATGTAAACAACGAAAGTCTTATGGTAATAAAGGCATTATTTTAAACATAAATACACAAAATAATAAATAGTATGACGATTTTTACCGTTTCTTCCTCCATAAACATACAACGAGAACCACAAGGATGATAATGACTACCACAGCTCCTGCAACACCAACGATGACAGGTAACGGATCTGTCGGCACGGTGGTAGGCGAAGTGTTAACTGCAAAGAGTATAGAAAAGTAATTCACTAAACATATATATATATATGATTTCCCACCATAGCTGTATAATATAACAGTACATTCATTATAAACACGATGTTACATTATTCAAATTAATATTGTTGACTAGATATATATTTAGGAAATCTAAAAGTATCAATGCATCGACATAGATACTTCAAGTTACTCTTCCATTCGTAGCTATATTTCAAAACGGTATTGCTATTTCTCTTTATAATTACTTGTCATTTAATCTTTAGATCGATTATAAAGAACGTTGTTCTGAAGGGTTGGTTTCAACTTTTCTTTTTATCGTTGCTAAAATGATTTTGATATGATTTCGACGTATGTATATTTTTGTTGTATCTTTAGTCTTACCTAGACAAAGGTCAGTTCTCGGCGCTGTCCAGGTACCCGCAGATACACAGGTGATAGTGGAATAATCCATGTTCCTACGATATCCAGAGTCACATTCATATGAACAAACTTCACCCACTATCCCAGTGCAGAAGGAAGATATCAGACCATTAGATATTGTCCTTTGGCACACCACACCTGAAGGATCAACTTGTCGTCATTATTCATTTTTGACAAATCTCATCCATAACCCTTCTTTTCTGTATATGTTTATCAAAAATTATGCATTGGATATTAGAGCATATCAATTCACGGCAATATGATGAATGAATTGTCATAAAAGCTAAGATCTTTGTCCTGTAATACATTATTTGCTGTAACAAAACTTACTTGATCCGCATGATTTTCCGTCTGATTGTAAGTTTATACCATCCTGGCATGCACATATTTGCCCCGTGCTTGTTGGCAGACAGTAAACGTCACATATGTTGTTACCGCTGCAGTAAGTATTACCTGGCCAAAGGACAACAGAATGTTAAAACTTAGAGGATCGACAGGTCCGTCAGGTTAATAGGCATTGAGAACGTTGCAAAGGACATAATATTAGTGATTATTTTGGTCATGAAATGTGACGTATAAGTGAATTGGTGTGTACTTTGGTTAGAATGAAGAAAAAATAATCAATTTTCATCGTACAAATTCATGTACAATTACATCTTGACATTTTAATTCCAAACAGAAATGATTAATAAATGAATAAACATGAATGAGATATGGCAATCATATTAACGCTACCAATCAACGTTATACGTGTTTATATATGGCATTAAGTTTTATGTCATAATAAAATCTGTTAGGATTGTGGGACACCATTTCATTCTATTTTCCTAATACCAAAACAGGTCATTTAATTGATTTGTAAAACTCAAAAATAATACATCGGTAGAAATATGAATAATAGTCTAATATTTAATAGATAAGGTATTTCAAAATGAAACTGATTAGCAATAGGATGCTGTATCAAAGTGAATTAGCGGATGATTACCTTGTTGTTGCTCTCCGGTATAAATGTCGATTGAAAACACAATGCCGACTTCCGCTGTGCTGTTTAACCAATGAATGTTGGCTCCGGTATTCTTGTCAATTTTTACAACTTTTCTAAAATGTCGAAAATCGTACGGATTACAGTTGTATGTATCAATTGAAAATGTCACAACGTCAGACGGTATGTATACTGAATACAAAACTAAATTAAGGATCAATGTTGATTCCAGTTAGTTCATCCACATTTACGATAACAGATCACGATTCCTGGATTTTAAAACAAGGACAACAGATTCGAAAAAAATATTAAAAAAAAAAAAAAAAAAAAAAAATCTGAAGTTCCGAAAAATAGCTCCTGATTGATTTTCAGTATACTAGTAACGCATAGGTATTAATGGTCTATTCTATTGCAAATGTTCTTGCTTTCAAATGCATTGATTGATGCTTATGCATTTGTAGAGTAGATGAGGTCAATGGGTCGATTGTTTGCAAGGTTAAGTGTCAGAAACAAATACTTATCAATAATATGTTTTATAACGTACTCACTGAGTATTTCTACCTGTGTAGTAAATAACGTTGCCAGACAACACTAGATCCGTGAGCTGTTCCGAACTCTGAAGCAGTATACCTTTGTTTCCCGATAAATCAGTATACTCTATTCCGTCATAGGACGACCAGTACACACGCTCGTCTATTAGACAAATAAAACAATGAACATACAAGTTCCGTACCATCTGAAAAGATTTCACACGATTATACAACCACTGTTTATAGTTCATGGCAGAATATCAGCCAATATGAAGCAGCTGTAGCATAGAAATAATACTAGAAGTATCAACAAATTGATTTTCAAAAAACTATACAAAAACAAATTTGACATCATGACAAATTGAATTGAATAACAAATACAAGATAAAATGCCAATTATAAACATCTCGTTTTAGATAAATACCGATCAGAAACGATATGATTTTTACATGAAATCAGTTTCGACATTGCAAATACGAAAATAATCCAATTTTACCTCATTGCTTGGACATATGAACCATTTGTAAAGCAAAGCAAATCTTCTTTAAAAAGCAGATAAAACCAATAATTTATCGCAGTGTTTATTTAAAAGAAATTTTAATTTAGGTCTCATATATAAATCTATATATTACTTGTGTAGTCCATAGCTAGTCCGTTAGGTTTGTTAACATCAGATACTAGTAAGGTTACAGCAGACCCGTCCATGAATGATCTATATATTGTCCCAACTTGTGTCCCACCATCAAAGTCGGTTCCGCTCCAGATTAGCATTCTAAAATACAAGGAACGTGACCAGAAACCAGTAAGCATGGTATGGAAATGAAATGGTGAATATTCGGTTAACTGATGCATTTGTATAAGTTCAATCTTATGGCGACTGTTGTAATATTTAAAGTTTGTTCGATATACCCCAGTACCCCAATATACGGAACTGTTTGGATGTTTTCAGTTTTTTCGACCTTCAAGAACTGCTTAAATTCAAGTGCCTGAAAAATGGGACCAGGAACTAGCTGGAAATGCCAGAAAAGAAACTTACCCTTTTTTGGAATAAACAAGCAGCCCTTGAATAAAGTCGGCGGTACCCTCGTCCTTGACCACTACCTTGTTGTGGACATGATCCGGAGTGACCCTTATAACGCCAATCTTACCATCCCTACCAGTACTCTCGTCGGATGAAATCGTGGTTGAATAGAACAGATTTCCGGTACTAACGTCTATAGCTAGCCTTTCAGGATACTCTTGTGCTAAGTGAAATATGTGTTAAAGAATATGAAGAAAACTTACAGCAGATAGACAGATAATTGAAAAGGTGAGGAGAACCTTCCATCTAGTAATTAGCTATTAAGACGAAGAATCAAGAGAAATAGCTTGTTTTATATGGGTAATTGATGTCTTCGCCAACAAATCCATTTCTATTTCAATGCGTTTCATCTATTATTCGAAACGGTTTTCTCCTATACGTTTGTTTTAAAACTAAAACTTCTTTTGGAAAATAGTTTTACCTCCGAGCGAGAGTATACCTACAGAAGGTCAGCAGGGTTCGAACCTCTGAGCCATCAAGTTTAGCTCTCTTGATGACCCGGAGGACAGCTTCTGTCCAATAGACGTACTGATGAACAGGGTCATAAATGGTGTCAACTGGCCTGTCCACTCGTATGTCTAGGGCCAGAAATTCGGGTGCAACCGTATCCAGGGAGAGCTGGTAGAGACGGGCGTGGTTAAGGTCAGGCATTAACAGGAAGTTGTTCACCAGAGCAGGTTCTGGAATATTTCGAAACTGTAGGTGAGCAAGCCTATTCATGAGTCAATTGATTATAGCAAACCAGATTTTATTGAGTGTATACTAACGTTGTGTCACAAATATTTTGTGTTACTCATTTTTCATCGTGTTCCTTAACTCTAACACTCTTCTTCATCCAGACGTGATAACATTACTGTAAAATGACCCAAGAAGTCGAGATTTTAACTACGGGCAAATAATTCATAATGACATTTTATATCTTTACTAAAGAGTAAGTGTCGTTACTTTTACAGAGAAAATGAAATATATAACTTATCGTATTTATCGTTCGTACGTAACTATTAATGTTGTAGGAGAAAAAGGTAAAAGTAAGAAATTTTGATAGTATATGAAATTACTGCTCTTGCAGGATGTCTGGTCTGGTTGCAGTAAGAATCCAAACGTACAAGCGCAACGTCTCTCCGTATCGGACGTCGGGATACAGACATGGGAACAGCCACCATTCAGGATGGAACAAGGTTCTGTTGCATAGGAAAGACACAATACTTTGTATGGAAACACAAACGATAATGTCAATGCATCTTTCTTTCGTTTAACAAATATATGTACAAAAATAATCAATAACGATAACACCAACACACATGCAGATTACACAGAAAACTGACCCGGCTGCAATGTTTGTATAGATTTGTCAAACAAAGCCATTCCAGTTATAACGCCAAATCCGTTCACGTCAACTGTTTGGAGCTGTTTGTTCTCCATGGACATGATGTGGAACTGGGAATTCAAAGAGCTGATCCAAAACACGTACATCTGCAAAATAAAATCAACAGTTACTACTGATGGTAGTAATATCAGCAGCTGTTCTGATTCTGTTTTTTCCACTCAATGTTATGTTGTTGCTGCAGATATTCAGCAATTTGTTGTAGTCAATATCCATAAGTTACAGTAATATCAACCGTTAATCGCGGTTGATATAAAACAAATATGTTGTAGTGGATATCTCGTGATAACTGTAGTTATAGTCCAGTAATAACAACAGGTAACACAATCATTAACGGTTGTTTAAAGAAGAATTCAAACCTCTCGTTCAAAATGTTTTATCACTTTCAGATGGATTTGCGTTTCCAATCCTTTACAGATAATATCACGTTTTGGATTGAAACCAACCTTGTATATGAGGAGCTGCGACTGTTGTTGTGTGGCGAGTGCTTTGTGTGTTACAATATCCGAGCCACTTCCCAGAGAACTCTTCAGTGTTCCGGCTTCAACCCAGTAAAGTCTGTAGCATAGTAGTGTCGTATAAACAAGCTATTCCCTAACATGATATATGGATATCAATGATCACAATAGCAGTTTTTCTTGATTTTATATGTTCAAATGCTTTTTTTTATTGAAAGGTAATCAATGCTACAGGATACATAGAGGATATTCACTAGTGTCTCCAGTAACAACTATATATGAGAAGAGTATCTAATTGTTAAGTATCTTTCACGAATGCTCAGTACGAGTAAAAGATACAATTGGTTTAGACACACGAGTGAAATATATTTGTTATTACTGAAGACGCTATTACATATTTTATTTATTACATTTTCACACAACAGCAAAGTTACTGGCTTGTTCAGAACAGATATACAACAAGGAAACTGACAAGATTTTTTTGTAAACAATACTTAAAAAAATATTTTCGCAGTACGCAATAAACTATAATGAGTTTTCAAAAAAGTCATTAATAAGTAAACACAAAAGAATAAATTTCAATGTGAATTTATCTATATATTCACATAGACACTATTTCTTATTTATATCAGATACGGACAAAATCTGCTGTAAAACATTCAGAGAGAGAGAGAGAGAGAGAGAGAGAGAGAGAGAGAGAGAGAGAGAGAGAGAGAGAGAGAGAGAGAGAGAGAGAGAGAGAGAGAGAGAGAGAGAGTTAAACCTGTGGCAAGTTAATACGCGGCTAAACATATGACGGCAACATGCAGCTGTCGCTTTTCATGACATGAAATGTCTAAGATATTAGATCCACATTCAAGACATTCGCTTGAGGATTGGATTTGATCTCTGATAAGGTATGCTGCGTTGCATTGTTTGCTGACTTAAATGGAAATTATAAGTTTACCTTGGAATTGAAGGTCGTGTTTCGAGTAGTAAACTAATTTGGATTTGTCAATTTGATTTGTGTTCTCCCTTTTCAATAGTGTATGTCTACAAAAGCGGTATTTTCTTTAATGACAACTCACAAAAACATGTTATTTTTCACTACTAGTGAAAACTAACACTTTTACCAATGCGATATTTTTCAAAAATTCACAAGCAAAATGTAATAAAACTCGTGGAAAAAAAAACCTGAAAAAAAAAAAAAAAAAAACAGTATACTTATATTTATAAAACACAAGCACAGGATATCAGCTCACTATTGTTCAAGTTAAAATTGTACAGACAAAATACATGTATGTAATCATTAAATGATATATGTTATTAATTTTTATTACATTTTTGCATGTGGAATATAGAGAAACATCATTCAGATCAATGCAATTTTTCACCGGCAACCACATACTTACACTGGTGAAAAGAAAAAAAAAGACTTCTCGTCCTATAAAACTGACAAATCACAAAGCCTGGTATAAACAACACAAGATCAGAAACCTGAATAGTGGGCAGACTAGTTTACCGTGTATAAGCTCCTGAAGAATGTTTATGTAAAGTAGCACTCGTGAAAGATATTAAAATATTAAACGCACTTAATGTATATATTTATTATTACTGATCACACCGTTAAATATCCGTTATATACTATCAAAACATCACCTTGTTGATATTCGAAAGAGGATTCATAGAAACTTACATTGTACAAAATATTACCTGTTTCCTAGTGTATCGTAGAACAATGTTGTCAACGAGTTTCCACTTGACACAACATCCGCTGGCGCCATGCTCCCATCAGTCGATACCCCCTGTATTGTGTTTTGAGATGTACCTGACCCCGATAACCAATAAACCATCCTGTAGTTGAAAATATACATTTATTCTCGTTTTGTTACTTACACCATTATTGTGTCATGTATTTGTTTGGTATCATGCATTGATACAAAGATAATCAGTCACTTCAGTTACAAATGGTTATGTATTTACCTTCCATGTGGATCAACTGTTACATCGGATGGACTTAGCGTACTCGTGCTAAAATCACTCGACGCACGTGTTGTTACCGAGACCAGTTTGATTTTCTTAGTGTCTGTTTCAGTCCAGTACAGATTCCGACCAAACCAATCATAAGCTAAGCCTGATAAGTAGAAACTATGACATACGAGTAAGAAAAAAAGACATTTAAAACTAATAAATTATCTTCATATGTCTCATTTCGTTTTGGCATTATCACTATCAAATTATTTTAAAATACAATAAGAAAGTTATCATATGAACGGAATAGGAATTTAATCCTAATAACGAATAATGTATTCAAGACTGTTTTCTCGTGAACACAACGCAAATGCGAATTCAATATCAATTATACAACCAATGACATTACCTGATACTAGTCCCGTACTGGCGAGTGATATTGTTCTCTTTGTTCGCAGATTGAAAGAATTAATACTGTTTGTTCCCGTGTCGACGAAGTACACATCCATCGTCTTAACATCCACTGACAAAAACGCTAAATCTTGAAGATTTTCTATGAAACAGGTAGGGGATTTCAATGGATATGTGACCAAACCCAAAATATCAATAACACAAATGTGCGTATTATTGCCAACAAGTAACCCTTTCAGTGGTACGTCATGGTCAACTACAAATACAAAAACAAACACATAATGTATGAATAGACACAATATATAATATTACAGGATTGTAAAAAACAGTTACGTGAATAAACGTTTTCATTATACAATATGGATTTTCAAACACAATATTTGATCGATAATTAAAAAAAAATGCATCACATAGTTATGAATCATCATCTGAAACATTCTCCTTTAACATAAATGTTAAAAAGCATTTTCAAAACCTTCAATAAATTGTACTCTAATTGACATGATCACATTAATAATTGATGTGTTTGTATATTGCTTCTATGACCATTAATATGAACAATCAAATTTGTCAATCTACCATATTTAAGGAACCTGTCAATATAATCGGAGTGTCGTCTCCTTTTGCAAGATCACCTACCGGTACATGATACCCCATCCCCCTGGAGTGTGTATCCGTTCTTACACACACATGTAGCTCCAGCAGGTGTCGGGACACAGAAATGTTGACATGTCTTTACAGCACATTTGTCTGAAATAGATACACAGTACAGTGTATTATGTTGTCCGATGGATTTTGCTGATGATGATAATGATGATATCATTGAAGAAATTATTTCAGGATAAACTGTAAGTATACTTACCCGTGGATCGTGGTTTACGAGAACTGTCAAAGATTTCAAGTCCGTAAGGCTGTCTGTCATACTTCTCCAACAGCACGTACTCCGATGAACCTTTGTACATACACAGCAGTGTGTCTAAATATTCCTCCGTAACGCAGATATGCACCTGGAAATCACAGTCATAGTCATACTCATATCATTTCAATCCTTTTACTGCCGATCACAAAAGAAAATAGTAGCATGAATACTTAAGATTTCATACGATTTCTTCATTTCTGTCAAGCATTTATATCACCTGTGTTAATACATTACGAAAGAAAAGACAAAATTGATCGGAAGAAAAGAATACCCTTATTGATACATACGTACATGCCACGCAAAGATTGAAAGAAAATTTGCTAATAACTATATAATACAAAACAATGTTATCCTCTGGACGTCACAAATGGCACAAACCTAGGTACAATGTACTTACGAAGTCGGTCATAATGTCGGAGAAGATATGATTGTTCTGACGATGGATGATCTCCCTTTGTTGACCGTCATACATGCAGCGTTCGATTGTGTATCGACCTCTGTCTGTCCAGTATAAACGTTTTTCCAGCACGTCGGCGTAAACGTCGCCGACACTGAGAAGACTTGTAGACACTATGACTTCACGTTGTTCTCCAGACAGGTATGCCCGCTCTACACGAGTAGAACCTTTGTAGTTGTCGGACCAGAACATGTAACTGCAATTTTAGAATTAAATGCAATATTTAATCCAGATTCCTATGGCAAGTTTCAAACATCACAGATACCCGGTCATAAAAAATCACTATGGAATTGCCTAGATTTTACAATACCTATGTTTCATTGTGTCTTCTCTACCATTGATTTTATTCTATTATCTGGCGTCTCGTATATATCAGCAGTGAATATGTCAAAAGTAAGCTAAATCAGAAATTACCAAACATTTCGTTTCGGACATAAGAACGACTTACATAAAGTATTTTACACCTGTTTTCATTTGATGTTGATATGAGATAAGATTTTCTTCTGTTACCCAGTCTCGTTAATCCAGCCGTTTATCACTTCCTCATTCGTATGTGACATGCGGTACTAGGACATTGTCACTGCCAGAGGAATATCTTTTATCCATTGACTTCCTTTATATATCATTAGGTCAACAACATGCACACAATACGATTATAATGCGATTCCTTAAAACGGTTACATCAGTGTGTATCCACCTCGATTACGGTGTGTATATTGTCGACCAATGATATTGTTGCCCGGATTATTTGGCTGGCCTCGTATTGAATTAAGAAAACCACAGACTCCCTTTTGGCGGAGCGTGGCCAGACAAAAGTAGTCTGGATGAATGAGACTATATTACAATGTGCGGCCCCACCATTGCTGAAAACAAAACTTTATCAGTGTATGTTTGTAATTGTATGATATGTTACCAGGGCTTATGATTCTTAAAAATGATGAATATTTCAAATAATCACCCTTCTTTTGGGTCGACGGTGATAGCTTTTGGTGTTTCCATGTTGGTATCTAGAAGAATCCGTAACATGTCCTCGTCTGTCGAAGCTGCCATGTTCACCACGAAAATCCAGCCGAGAAGTCCATCGGTACAATATAGATTCTGTGTTATCCAATCAAACGCTATGTTCGTGTTAATTGATCCGGAAACATTTTTTATAAACGACGTCTTTCGGTCGTTCGGGGATGTAAAACCTGACATCTTATATATTGCTTGAGTGTAGAAATCATAAAAATACAGGACATCATTTTGAGGGTCAGAAGTGATGCTGGTAATAGTGACTCCTGTTAGTGAGAAAGACGTTATGATTGGCTGGAGAGTAGATTGTTTGGAAAGTTGTTCCACTGTTCCTTCATATGTATAAAGTGAACCGGTATTATCGGCTGACGACTTGAAGCCCGTAACCAATGCCTCTGTAAACAAGGAACACATATTCAGTAGACAAGAATTAGCAAACATTTGATGGTTTTATTTGCCGCCGTGTGCAAAGAGGTCATTTCTTATCATTATTGATATTTTGTTTTATTTGTTTATCTATTTATTTATTTAATCAATTATTTTGATGTCGCCATTTACAAACTGACATCTTGATGGCTTGTAAATGTAATTGAATCAAATTCTATTGCGTACGTTATTTTCGTTCTGTAGTCTTACTTTCAGGATGTATGTTACTTAAGACACCTTGCCGTGTTCTAGTCAGGGGTAAATTATATGTAAGCCCCTTGTTTACAATACATAAAGTATATCCATATAACAATTTGTCATAAACTATAACGTCCTTAAACTGCAACTTGATTTTCTATGTGTTTTTTATCAGGATTTTTCTGCGATATCAAATGATATTATTCCTTTATTTTGTTGAAACAGGACGTCAAGTGCCTCTGTTCCTCCTAAAATAGTACACGTGCCAGGTGTAATCTAAACGAAATTTGTGTATACAAAAAACAACATACCGCTCTCTCAACAAGGAAAAATAGCTATTATTCTGTATAAACAGAGGGGAAATGTCATATTTCAGTTATGTTTAAGTTACTGTTTGTGGGAAATATAGAGAGTCAGTCAGATGTAAAGTGATACCCTCTATCCACGTTCTGTCGAACGACATGCATTAACCATTTTTTTGTTTTATGTAAGTAAACAACATGAAATAATAGAAATGACATAGACATACTCCTTTTACTTATTTTCTTCATTCGTAACTCTTTAATCTAAAACTAGAAGGCACTAATCAATTGAACATGGCTCGTACAAATATTGACATGTTTCGATGATGTCTCCAATTGTATGGGCATTAAGACTCTTGAAGACGTAGGCCACCGTGTTGTCTTTTATATGGTCACACTGCCTACCATAGTATGAAATGAATATCACTTTGCGTTGATTTTCCGGTGAGATGTGTTGATTATAGTTGATATAAATAGTAATAGTAAGTTATAAATGTTTTCGAAAAAGTATTTAACAACATAATATTAATTTCTGGTTTGGTATTGAACTAACTCATACCAATCCGATTTCCATTAAGACGTAACAAGAGTGATTGTTCCTTTCAACGGTCTTTGTGCCTTTGTTTCCTTCATGTAAATCAATGACATCTAAGTAAACAGATAACAATAATTTCAGTTGAAGTGTAACCCATTGAAATTCCTCCCTTTCCTGATTAACTCTCTTTTTTCATTTTAAATGGTTAAACAGGAAGTATAAATGATAACACTTCGAGAAAGTGGCTTCGTTGTTGAGATGAATATACGTCGGCAGCGTGCCCATAGTCAATTTGATGCTAGTCTTTGTTTATCTTTATCAATATGGACGAAATGACAAGCAGGAATTACTTCCATTGTGTTATGCTTTCAGCGCCTACAGTATTTTCATATCACAGTTAATTAGGTATTTACGGGCGGTATCTGAACGTAAGATGTGTTATGGCTGGTGTCGAGTACTCCAGTGTAAATAAAAACATGAATTAAAAATTGGGAGCTAATGCAAATATTCCTTTTTTATGTTTCTGTTGGGAAGTATCCTTGTGCGAATTACATATTGACATTGTTCCATTACAACACTGAGTTTTAGGTAAATATATCTCCGTAAACTGTGCCGTTTCGTAACGTAGGTGTTTGTCATGTGACAAAGACATTCACATGGCACATGCTGCCGATCGGTCATGAAATTGTTTTCATTCATGATTTGACGTTAATAAGTGTTTAATAAAGTGGATGTTTTGACCCTTTCATCAGCAGCTAGAATATTTATTAATTTTTTTTTATACTGTTAGGACATAGCAGTACTAACATTCAGCTGATGTGATCTTTACACTTCATTGAAATCAGTATAAGAGTTTTCTAGAATGTTGCAGACAATAATGTATCAACATTCATCTATAGTATATGACCTTCGACCCATGACCCTGACATATAATGCTGACCTTTAAGCCTGGTGTTACCAAATGAGTTGAGCGCAACAATAAAATATATATGGAGAAGCTAGTATATATAGCTGTTGTTCCATATTGCTGAATACAAAGACGTATTGAAAGATGTGACTGTTTCTTTGTCACTTTATTGGTGATTAGAACCTAGTGTCAACTGATTGGAACCTTGGCTTCTATGTAGGAGACAATTATAAAAATGTTTCATCAAATTATACAATCGCAGTCACATGACAGCATTCAACATATCCGTGTTAGACGTTGTTTGGGGATAAAAAAAACTGTTATGAATTACGAAGTACTGGGTCGATCAAGGTAAAATATAGTAATGCCATGACATAAAACATAGCTCTGATAATCAGAAGTCATGTACGTTCATATATACAGCTGTCTTTGATGTCACATTTTTATCATAGCAGGAGTAGTTTCTGTATTCACTGTGAGAGGAACAGAGTGATATCACTGATGTCGTTGCTGTAGGGGACACATGATGTTTAAACTGCTAGATCTAATAGTAAATCTGACTGATATTACCTAGTTCGAATATCTAACAGCACCTACTGGACTTGAATTAATAATAAAAGTACAAAGTTACACTGTGTGTCTCCAGGTGACACGTGTCATTTATCATCTAAGACTGCACAGAAAATGCCCTTATATCTCTGTTACTAGAAATCTGGGTGTTGTTTACACTGCGTAGGTCTTTAAAGTAGAGGGATGAATGACCAATTTCTATGCTTTAGTAAGTGTCACTGGAGTCACAGAATAGTATATTAACTTCCTTAAATAGGCTTTTAAATATCTTTCGTGTCCTATAAACATGTGAATGACTGCGGTATCTTTTGTTTCTAAGTAAACGATGAACGGACTTAAATATGTGTTAAATATCAAGTATTAATTAGTATTATTTCAAGATAATCTTCAGTAGTTTATGTTTGTTAAGAGAATGCTTCCCTGTAATTTCAATAATCCATGGCTGTGAAAATGTTTAGAACTAGTCTGTAACATCTCCTATTCTCAGCATTTTGTAGTTTTCCTTTTAAAAAATTCCAGGAAACTGAAAGCTTTTTAAGTATTTAGCAGATAACTGCTATCTACATAAGTAGGCCTACAGCTATTCAATATTTCAATATATTCTTCCGAACTTAATAATTTGAAAAAAGACACCTGAGTATGAATCATACTTTCTTAACTCTATTTGAATTTAAAGCCAGTAACATGTCAATTTAAAAAAAAATACTTTGATGTTGATTTTAGTAGATTTAGGTTAGGATATGATATCAGTGGAGATATTGATTTTATTCCGGGTTTCGTAATAGAAAATGTCAATATATTTTGGTAGTATAGTGTAACTTTGAATGCATTGATATGAAACTATATATATATTCTTACGCATCATTAAGATATAATATCTTAATATTTGCAGTTAATTTTTTCATTCCTTTTTGTATTATATACTGAATAACCAGACGCCATTGTTCAAATACTTGTCAATGGAGTCTTTGTTAAGAAGATGCCCAGACGTCGATACCAAAGTTGATTTTTGATTTCTTTTAAGTATAGATGTTATGTTGTTCATGTTTACATAGCTTTTCTTAAAAGCCTTTTAACACCATTATGAAGTTATTCACGCTTTCTATGTTACATTTTATTTGTAGGCTGAATAGTAGAATAAAAAATAATATTGTAAATAACATTTGTCCGCCTGTAGATAACTAGCAAATACAAAGATACATGTGCTATCATATATCAGAAAGTTTTCTGTGAGTTAATAGACATTTGAAATAACATTTTGTGAAACATACTCACCAAACAAAATTATGGACAAGGTTGAAGCCATTAAAGTTCTATATTGCTTGAATCGTTCCTTATTTGGAAAATTCTTACAGCAATGACAATAAAACCATTATGTATCATTTTTGTATGGCATGATTATATGTTTAATTTTTATTTCAAGTTTCTTTATCACAAGAAATAAACGATATTTCCCGATATTACTTGGACTCAATATCTTTAGATATGATTGTATGTTGCTGATAAGGCAGCGAGTGCTACATTGTTCACATCAATTTGTTTAACATCACCACCCAACAGTGAATTTGTCGATGATTCAGAAAGGATTAAACTTCTTTTATCAACAATCTTATATGTGTTTCACCCAGAAAGACAGCAAATACAAGTTACATAGCCAGAAAGAAAATTTGTACCGACAACAGTGGCAATACAATACTCATATGTTACAGTTAAACGCCTAAGCGAAAATAACACTACAAACGCTTTGTGAGAAGTTATGTATACCAATCAAAGCTTTAAAACACCGATATAGCTGCTCCATTGCAGTAAAAATGAATTAAAATAAGAAGCGAACAAAAAGTGCATGAGACGCCCCGTATCCGCAATTAGTGCTGCAAAGGACTTTTCACAACTAGTAATCCAGAGGCACGTTTGGCACAACTATTAAACCAGAGGTACGTTTGGCACAACTATTAAACAAGAATTACATATGGCACAACTTGTTAACCAGAAGTACGTATGACATAATTAGTAAACCAGGGATACGCATGGCACAACTAGTAAACTAGAGGTTCGCAGGGCACAACTTATAAACCTGAATTGCAGGGCACAACTTGTTAAAACCAGAGATATATAGGGCACAACTTCTAAACCAGAGGTACCTATGACACAACTACTAAACAAGAATTACATATGGCACAACTTGTTAACCAGAAGTACGTATGACACAATTAGTAAACCAGGGATACGCATGGCACAACTAGTAAACTAGAGGTTCGCAGGGCACAACTTATAAACCTGAATTGCAGGGCACAACTTGTTAAAACCAGAGATATATAGGGCACAACTTCTAAACCAGAGGTACCTATGACACAACTACTAAACAAGAATTACATATGGCACAACTTGTTAACCAGAAGTACGTATGACACAATTAGTAATCCAGGGATACGCATGGCACAACTAGTACACTAGAGGTTCGCAGGGCACAACTTATAAACTTGAATTGCAGGACACAACTTGTTAAACCAGAGATATATAGGGCACAACTTCTAAACCAGAGGTACCTATAACACAACGACTAAACAAGAATTACATATGGCACAACTTGTTAACCAGAAGTACGTATGACACAATTAGTAATCCAGGGATACGCATGGCACAAATAGTAAACCAGAGGTACGAATGGTACAACTTGTAAATCATTACTACGTATGGCACTAGTAAACTAGAGGTTCGCAGGGCACAACTTATTAAACGGATTTTTAGGGCACAACTTGTTAAACCAGAGATATGTATGGGACAACTATTGACAATTAAACCATCGATTCATAGGGATCAACTAGTAAAACAGAGGCTGGTATGGCAAAACTACTTATCCTACGATTCGTGGGGGCTGGGGGATGGGGAAGGGGGCAACGGGTAAACCACAGCTACATAGGGAACAAACAGTAAATCACATCAATGTAGGGGCTGCTAGAAAACCAGAGGTTGGTATGGCACAACTACTTAATTCGTAGGACGGGGCAACTACTAAAGTAGAGATACGTCGGGAACAAGTAGTCAGAGGTATGTGGGTGGGGGAGGGGCAACTAGTAAAACAGAGTTACGTAGGAGACAAATAGTAAACCAGAGGTACGTACGGGAGAACTAGCTAATTAGAGTTATGTAAGGAACAACCAGTAAAACAGCGGTACTTAGGGAACAACTAGTAAACCAGATACGTTGAGGACACCTAGTAAACAAGAGATACGAAGAGGACACCTAGTAAACCACAGATACATAGAGGACACCAAGTTAACCACAGATACGTAGAGGACACCAAGTAAACCAAAGATACGTAGAGGACACCTAGTAAACCAGAGATACGTGGGGAACAAGTAGTAAACCAGAGATACGTAGAGGACACCTAGTAAACCACAGATAAGTAGGGAACAAGTAGTAAACCAGAGATACGTAGAGGACACCAAGTAAACCAGAGATACGTAGAGGACACCTAGTAAACCAAAGATACGTAGGGAACAAGTAGAAAACCAGAGATACGTAGAGGACACCAAACCAGAGATACGTACGGGACAATTAGTAAACCAGAGATACGTAGAGGACACCTAGTAAACCAGAGATACGTAGAGGACACCAAGTAAAACCAGAGATACGTAGGAGACAAATAGTAATCGAGAGATACGTTGAGGACACCTAGTAATCCAGAGGTATGTGGATGGGGGGACAACTAGTAAAACAGAGTTACGTAGGAGGCATAGTAATCCAGAGATACGTAGAGGACAAATAGTAAACTTAGATAAAGTTTAGACGAAAAATGAAACATTAGAGGATGTTGTTACTATTTTCTGTATGCTGAAAACAAATTGAACCTTAATCTATCGGCTTCGTGACCACTCTCATGAAAGCTGCGATCGCGTGTGATGTACAATACACAATGCGAAATAACAAAAATGCCAAAGCAGAAATGCGGAAGGCATGAGCTCAACAGAAAAAACTTAAGGGAAGACAATACATTCTTTGATTTCCTATTTGATGTCAATGTAGAATGTCCTTTGTGATATATTTACTTTCCTATAGAACGTAATCGAAAACTATTTATACTTGGCCAGGTAACCTATACCTAAATGTGACGAAAATGCTCAACACAATTTCAATTATTTACTTTCAAATATTAAGAAATGTTAAGTCACATTAGCAGAAATAGTATTGATATATCGCACAAACGACAGATTTACGAGAAAAGCATAGGCGATGCCGAAATGTAGACGATATTAAAACTTTACAAATCGTTTGCAATTAATTATAATATGTAAATCATATTAAGATGATGGTCTTACCTTTCGCAGACAATGTGGTAAAGGAAACAGCCAGTATATACCCCAGTACATACCCGAACACTGCCATTCTTTAACGCCCTCTTCACCGCATTGAGGAAGTGTATGTGCATGTACGTATATACAAGTAAGCTGAGTAAAATAGTACGCCGGTAAATCAATTAAAAGTTGTGACGGGTGGATACATCCTCTAGACAGTGTTAACGTTCAGGACGACTGCCTTTTAAATATGTATACTCTCCAACACTAACATCTTACATGTGGGATTATGTTGATGTTAAGAGTAAAATTTGATGGTTGACTTCTTTCTAAATACGTACAGGTAGTTAACGCAGGGATAAGTTCGTATTCTATCTTATCATAACAAAACATTTAGTTTACTTTGACAAAAATTGTTCAGGCATTAAACGTGTCCTTTGATTTTAAAGTGCACTGTTTATAGACGTTAACACCCTATATAAACAAACATGTATTGAGGAAATTTGGCTTCTGAGAATAAACGTGCCTGATTTTATTATCTTTTTTAATTTCATTGTTGGCATGACTGGGTTTTAAACTATTCCAAGTCTCATAAATACATGTGTACACTTGGATATGAATCGGGTAGTTTTAACATTTTGACAGATTTTTCTTTCTTTTCTGTAGTTTTAATGTTTTTGACAATCGCTTCATGACATGGACATCTATAATATCTAATATGATCCCAGTATCAATAAATGGTCATTGTTTGCCTATAATAAAGCAATGAGAAACTATATATATATAAATAAACGACATGTCCACAGATTTTTAATTTAATCCGAACTTCGATGGAAATAGTGCAAAATATGAACTAAAGGAATATTTTACAAAGATGATTCTTACAAGGTGTTTAGAGAATATGATTAGGTAATTTTTTCTGCTTCCTGTTGTTTATATTTCAGTATGTATCCAGGAAATTCGATATAAGACAAAACGTTTAGAAAATATAAAATCAACAGAGCTGGAATGCTGTTTTTTTCTTTTGTGACTTGTGTTTAGGCGATATTTATTTGACTCCATTGGTATTATAGCACTACATGTACACTACAACAAGTAACAGCTGATTGTTGATGTATCAAATGTGCCTGGAAGTCAATCATTATTCTGTAATTCCGAAACACAGTAAAGTTGGTAGTAGGTTAATCTTAACACCTAGTATACGTGTAGTACGTATGATCAAGACAGGGTTTAGACGAAGTTCAGACTCCATGTAAACTACTTGTGCACTAGACCTAATACAGGTGATATAGCTGTTTCCCCCAATATAGGTTATGGACAGCGCCAATGGCTACCTGTGCATTTACCTGTGTCTTAAATCTTTAACTGTAGAGTATCCTACAGTTGTGTTAATAACCTTGATTTTATTCTAAATGTAAATGCGTCTGCATTTTCTAGTAATCCAATATAAAAATCAATCGAAAAGCTGCATATGTGCATTGATTATTAGAAACAAGATATGTATTGAATAAAGTCAACAGGATTTTAATAGATTATGTAATTTACAGAGTTTACATGATCAGGAAGTGAATGAATGGAACACATTACATACTGGTTATTTTCAAACATGTAATGAATAGAGTTGTTAAATAAATATAAGAAAATGTAGTATATATTTAGATAACCTTATGTGAAACATAAATGGATAAAATTATCTTAGAAATATATCAATGTGTTATGGTCTACTGTTGATATTTAGAAATATTTACTTAATTATGGTACCAAAGTTAATTTAGATAGAATCGCTTTAATTCAATATATTAAGAATATAATTTATATTTAATAATAAACCTACTGATGTAGAACTCTGTATTTTATAAACGGTTGTTCTGCTATAGGTAAAATGGTATGTTTCAGTCAGCAAATACAAATACATAATACAAGCTTACTTTAATCAGAAACCTAAGTATCAGTTAAGTATCTGCTATCTTATCTTTACAGTGTTTTTTTCTTAATTCAGCCTAAATATTACTTCCTTAGTAATAACTTGGAACTTTTTCAGATCCCCATCCGATATCCATGTATAGCATTATTGGGCATCAAAAGATAAACACGATTGTGATATGAAAATTGACTCTGGGATCTGATCCAATTCTTAACAACTCAATCTATGGATCATAACTTTGGAACAGCTAAGATTCCTACCTCGTGATTCTAATTTGAAATGGTCGTGATCACAAAAATATAATTATATTTTTACTATTGCTTGGCATAAAAATCCAGGAGAGTGGTTCAGGCCATCATGGCATATGTTGTGACACAATAAGACATGCCTTCGTCAGATCACACATGCTTTTTCAAATCTTCTTGTTACAGACATATATTTTTTGTTGTTTTGCTATTAGAACGTATGTAGCAGTATATGGAATTAAAATAATATTCATCTAAAACTTGTATATAAAAATACCGCTGTTTGAGATTCAGGAAGTCGCACTTTTTGTAGAATGAAAAGCATTAAGAGCTAATCTACAATAAAATGAAATATATTCTCTCAGCAAAGAAATAGTAAACAACAATGTATATAATTTACAAAGTCAGTACGATAGATGTAACGTGTCCTTTATTTTTAATCAGGTAACTCTAACGTTAAAAACATAGTCGTTACTTCTGGATTTCTGCAAAGAAAAAATACAATATAGATATTAATATCAATTATTATATCATTAATATTTTTAACAATATGCAAGTATGTCTATATAAAACATTTTTGATTATTTTTTGTAAACTGCTGTTCTGTTAATGAACCAACAGAGCCTCATTTATATCTAATATTCAAATCTCTTGAAAAATGGTGTTTAATGACACCGGACTTAATACTAGACAAGTGGCCATTGCAAATTTCTATCATGATCTGAAGGTATTTGTGGCAACTTTGTAACTTTGCTATAATGAAAGTCTTGCCGTAATGACGGGGACCTTAGAGGTTATGTCTATCTCTGTGTAATCTAGTTTTATTTAAATAGGTTATATATTATACTTACAGCATGCCACGACTAGGCGGTGGGGTCGCACGTATTCCGGTTACATCCGGGATCTGTACAGCAGTGTCCACACAATACTTCATGTATATGATATGGGTAAATCCAGTCGTGTGTGTGGGGATCAAAATGTGACGAATGTATACAGGCCTTTTCAAAAATGAAATAAATAAGTTCATAACCAAGCGAATGTAGAACTGAGGAGTACAAACTATCAAACATTACAGAATAACCACGATGACTTTAAGCTAGGAGTTACTTCCCTTTGTTTGTCATTGTTTGGGTTGATTGGGATGTACATAAATGCTTTTGCAAAATTATATTGCAATGGTGTAAGCGGAACTTGAATATACCACGTTAAATGAACTTGACTCGTCAGATAGATTCTTTCACAATGCTAGTGTACTTTATCCAGAATTTTCTTGTATTTCATCCTGAGTTTGGAAGATAAAAATTAAAATTAAGGTCTGTATCAGAAAATTATCTTGCGAAATATCGTGAATAATTTCGAAAGCCAACAAGAAAAAAATCGTTACTCCGTGTGAGGCACATCCTAGATGGTAGTATGTTTTCCCGTCTGGCCCGGTGTAGTGTGTTGTGAAACATTCCTTGAAGTAAACAAAGATATTTCATAAGTTTTTATGATGTCTCCTCTGATGTCCTGGAGACAGTAGATTCTGATTCATAACACACATATTTTTGTTTGAGATAAAGAATACAATTGATTTGAGCCATAACCGAAATTAAAAAAAACAAGAATGCATTGATAAATCTATGTATTCTACTACATCTTTAAGTTTGAAACAGAAACTGCAAACCAATCATTGATTACCAGTTTAAATGAGGAAAACGATAAATTCTTCCCTAAATGGAGGTAAACAACACGAAGCGAAGAAAGAATGAAGATGAAAAATGTATATAGTATCGGATACAACGTCTACCTTTTTACCAATTTTCTTTTTCGCGTTTAATGCGTTGATCTCCCGTTTTTCTCCATCAGATTTTTTAAAAATATTTTTTATTCCAGTAATTTTTCTTTATTATGTGTGTATGTAAATAGCAAACAAACACATAAATCACTCACATTTTCGTATAGTCTTTGTGCACTGACATCCTAAAATTCCCAATAATTAGTACTTTTGATATGAGTAGTGCTATTTTCCTGGAAACTTCATGACCGTGTTCTAGCAGCAACCCGACAACCCTTCATGCATTTATACATTATTCAATATGAAAAATAATGTGAAATACCTTTCCATGGGAACATGACACTATTTCCGTGCAGTCATGGGGAGAGGTTGCATGGAAGCAAGTGTAGCAATCGTGACTGTTATGATGCTGGCAGCTTACCAAGCCTGTAACAGACCGTGCTTCCTTGAATATTGTTTCGTCATCATAGAGATTTTGATTTCACTATGACTATTCTATTTTAGAAAAAAAGAACCTCAAAATATTTAACGGTTATTAAAGAACACGGCCTGCCGCGATTAAATTTGTGTTATATAATCTATTGTGACGTCATGACATAACGAGGACGTTATGTTATAATGGAAGCCATAGATTTATAGCTAATATGATTTCCAAACTAATATGAAAAAATGGAAACTCGTAAAATTATATAGTAATAAATAAAGGGAATTATAATTAGATTAACATATGCTGTGGTTTTATTATTCAGTCAATACATTCAGTAACGTCAAAAAAAACGTGGCCTTTATATGAGCATTCAAATGATAATAAAATGACCTCACACATTTACAACATACATGTTTTAGTAATGCTTTAATAGTGTGATCTGATGGCACCTAGTTGCGTTTCAGTTCCATGTTCTATTTAAGAAACGAGATTAAAATTTTGATTCATTTTATGTATTCTAATGGTTTATTATCCATAATTAATTAAAAAGTGTGTTATTGATTTAATTTAACTTTGATTTTATCAGAACGAAAGTAAAGAAAGATATCAGTAAATGGCTTAACGTCAACATATTTAATGAGCGATACGTCAATTTGTTAAATATCGATACGGTTGGCTGTAATCCAGGCTATTTACATTTGAAAGACACAAGCCATAC